GACAACCTGTATGACTATATTTTTGGTGTAAAACATAAATTAATAATCTCTTGGTTGATTTCCATACTTTAAAAGCCTATAGGCTGTCAATAAGTATTAAAAAGTACCATAAAAGATCCACAAAACTTGGAATTTCTGTGAGGAAAATATCATATAGAACGACTTGAAAGAAAATTGATTCTCTCGGCCAGTCTATTCTTTAAAAAGAAAGACTATTAATGCACTAGTCAAAATTAGAATATGAAACATTTGCCTTAATATTTTAAATGCTCTGTTCATTTGTTATAGGAAGCGTTCGATGTGTTGGGCTTCACCCATGAAAAAGAACAGCATCTACAAGCTGACTGGTTCTGTCATGCACTTCGCAACATGAAGTTCAAGCAGAAGCAAAGAGAGGAACAGGCCGAGGCTGATGGGACTGAGGTCAGTATAACTCAGAAAAATGAAATCAGTAGAACTTGGAAACATGTTGTATATAGAGTCATAACTCTGTATTCTTTTTAACATGTAGAAGCTGACAAAATCTCATATCTGATGGGCCTAAATTCAGCTGACCTGATCAAGGGGTTTGCTCCACCCAAGAGTCAAAGTAGGAAACGAGTGGGTCACCAAGGGACAGAGTGTCCAGCAGGTAATGAATGAAAATAATAATCTAATGGACATTTACAATTTTCAGCATCATAAGTTCACTTTCAAAGACATACAAACAAAATCTTTCATGTATCTGAAAAATCGCTTTCTATTTTGCAATGTGACAAATTCTGCAAAATTCAATATTTTCTATATTAGGTGTACTACTCTATTGGTGCTCTGGCAAAGTCAGTGTACGAGAAGATGTTTCTTTGGATGGTTGTGAGAATCAACCAATCACTGGACACCAAACAGCCTCGCCAGTACTTCATTGGTGTGCTGGACATTGCTGGATTTGAGATCTTTGATGTAAGTGGAAATCAACAGATTTGTTTTATTTCAAAACAAATTCAACAAGAAGTGCAATCTGTTTGACCATTGTGATTATACTTTATATTCCATCTGCAGTCCAACACCTTTGAGCAGCTGTGCATCAACTTCACTAATGAGAAGTTGCAACAATTCTTCAACCACCACATGTTTGTGCTGGAGCAAGAGGAATACAAGAAGGAGGGCATTGAGTGGGTTTTTATTGACTTTGGCATGGACCTGCAGGCTTGTATTGAGCTTATTTTGAAAAGGTGGGTATATATCATGTTGATGATTACACTGTGAGGGGAAAAATCACATTTTTTGGTTTTAACTCTTGTGGTAAATTGATATATTGGACTGCCACGATCTACAATTCATTGTAGCCCATGGGTATCATGTCCATCCTTGAAGAGGAGTGCATGTTTCCCAAAGCCAGTGATGCTACATTTAAAGCTAAGCTTTATGACAATCACTTGGGGAAAACTCCAAACTTCCAGAAGCCCAGGATTGTCAAGGGTAAACCAGAGGCTCATTTTGCCCTCGTTCACTATGCTGGTACTGTGGACTACAACATTTCAAACTGGCTGGTAAAGAACAAAGACCCTCTCAATGAGACGGTTGTAGGGTTTTTCCAGAAGTCAACTCTTAAGCTGTTGTCCATTCTGTTTGCTAATTACGCTACTGATGACTCAGGTAAGTACACACTGATGTGTGTCATGAAAATATAATAGGCACTACTTTTACGGTTTAATAATAACAAAAAATATTTATTTCACAGCTACAGATTCTGGAGGAAAAGCTGCCAAAGGCAGCAAAAAGAAGGGTTCTTCCTTCCAGACGGTGTCAGCCCTTCATAGGGTATGAAATATTAAAACACGGCTTTATCTCACACGGTTTTATTGCATTTAAATCTGAATCATTTGTGGTCTAACAACAGGAGAACTTGAACAAGCTGATGACCAACTTGAGGTCAACTCACCCTCACTTTGTGCGCTGCCTCATCCCCAATGAGACCAAGACTCCTGGGGCGATGGAGAATCCTCTGGTCATGCACCAGCTGCGCTGTAACGGTGTGCTGGAGGGCATCAGGATCTGCAGGAAGGGATTCCCCAACAGGGTCCTGTATGGAGATTTCAAACAACGGTTAGTATGAAGGCAAATGGCTTTCATGTCTTACATAATTATTTAATGTATGACTCCAAATTTAATTGTACCTTGTTTAACTTTAATGTAAGCATTTGCTAGAAATAAAATAAAATAAATATAGAAATAATTGTTAATGTGTGTTGTTTTTTTGGTAGATACCGCATCCTAAATCCTGCTGCTATCCCTGAGGGACAGTTCATTGATAACAAGAAGGGTTCAGAAAAACTTCTGGGCTCTCTGGACATCGATCACAACCAGTACAAGTTAGGACATACTAAGGTATTATTATATTGACATTAACTTTTTAACCATTAATCAAAACCACGTTTCCATTCTCATCCTGTTTGATGCAAAAAATGTTTCTATTCAGGTGTTTTTTAAGGCTGGTCTTTTGGGAACTCTTGAAGAAATGCGAGATGACCGTCTTGCACTTATTATAACTGGAATTCAGTCCATGTCTCGTGGTTTTCTATCAAGAGATGAGTTCAAGAAAATTGTGGAAAGAAGGTTTGATTCTAGCTCTTTGATCTTTAATGTATTTTCCAAGTTACATTTTATAATTTAAGACATAAATTTTAATTTTATTAATTTTAGTTATTTTTTTTAATATCCAAAGAGACTCTCTGTTGGTGATTCAGTGGAACGTACGTGCTTTCATGGGTGTCAAGAATTGGCCCTGGATGAAGCTCTACTTCAAGATCAAGCCTCTGTTGAAAAGTGCAGAGACTGAGAAAGAAATGGCCAACATGAAGGAGGAATTCACCAAGTTGAAGGAAGCTTATGCCAAATCTGAAGCCCGCAGAAAGGAGCTTGAGGAAAAGATGGTTTCTCTTATCCAAGAGAAGAACGACCTGCAGCTATTAGCACAGTCTGTAAGTTCACATGAGACTACAACTCTGGACTTTTCACAAGTCACAAAACAAAAAAAAGGTTTTCAATTATTATTATTTTCATGTTGATAGGAGCAAGATAATCTTGTAGATGCTGAGGAGAGATGTGAGGGTCTGATCAAGAGCAAGATCCAGCTTGAGGCCAAAGTCAAAGAAATGACTGAGAGACTGGAGGATGAAGATGAAATGAATGCTGAGCTGACTGCAAAGAAACGAAAACTGGAGGATGAATGCTCTGAGCTCAAGAAGGACATTGATGATCTTGAGCTCACTCTGGCCAAAGTGGAGAAAGAGAAACATGCCACTGAGAATAAGGTCAGTTTTCAGCACTGAACCTGATAGTGATGCTATAATGGTGAGTTAAGATTCCCTTGATGCAATAACACATTTCTACAGGTTAAAAACATGATAGAAGAGATGGCAGCTTTGGATGAGATCATCGCTAAGCTGACCAAGGAGAAGAAAGCTCTTCAGGAGGCCCATCAGCAAACGCTGGATGACCTCCAGAGTGAGGAAGACAAAGTCAACACACTCACCAAAGCCAAAGCCAAGCTGGAGCAACAAGTGGATGATGTAAGAGTCAGAAAACACAACACTAGAATTAAAATGAGAAACATTTAAAGTAATTACACAATTATTTTTATAATTGTTTTGCATGATATTTAGCTTGAAGGTTCTTTAGAGCAAGAAAAGAAAATCCGCATGGATCTTGAGAGAGCTAAAAGAAAGCTTGAGGGGGACTTGAAGTTGACTCAAGAGCATGTGATGGATTTGGAAAATGACAAGCAGCAGACGGAGGAGCGGCTAAAGAAGTAATATATTTTATAAAATATACAAACCAATTTTAATATTAAAAGATATTTGGTAACACTTTACAATAGGTTCCAGTTTACTTTAGTTAACATGAACTAATAATGAAATATACTTCTAAGCATGTATTAATCTTACTTCATGTAAATTTAAACATTCCCTAACAAATTATTAAGCTTCATTGCAGACACAAGCTAACAATGAAAAGTTTTCTTTTTATCAATAAATCTCAACAAAGTTTAATAGATACTGTAACAAATGTTTTGTTAATTGTTAAGTTAATGTTGTTTAATGCATTATCTAACATTAACTAATGGAACCTTAATGTAAAGTGTTGCCAGATATTTTTAATGTGAAATTGTATGTAATCATTCATCCTGTTTACTTGGCAGAAAAGACTTTGAAATAAGCCAGCTCAATAGCAAGATTGAAGATGGACAAGCTTTGGAGTCCCAACTCCAGAAAAAACTGAAAGAGTTGCAGGTAAACTTTGTATGTTTTAATAAGATAGAAAGTTGGATTGTTAGAAAATTTAACCTTAATTGTTAATTTATGCACATTACTAGGCCAGAATTGAAGAGCTTGAGGAAGAGCTGGAGGCCGAGAGAGCAGCCCGTGCCAAAGTTGAGAAACAGAGAGCTGATCTGTCCAGAGAACTGGAGGACATCAGTGAGAGGTTAGAGGAGGCTGGTGGAGCCACTGTTTCTCAGATTGAGATGAACAAGAAACGTGAAGCTGAGTTCCAGAAACTGCGCAGAGACCTTGAAGAGGCCACTCTGCAACACGAGTCCACTGCGGCTACACTGAGGAAGAAACATGCTGACAGTGTGGCTGATCTGGGGGAGCAGATTGACAACCTCCAGAGAGTGAAGCAGAAGCTGGAGAAAGAGAAGAGTGAACTCAAACTGGAACTGGACGATGTGGTCTCCAACATGGAGCAGCTTGCAAAGGCAAAGGTGAGTGAGAGAAATTATACTTAGAGTCTATAAATTATGTTTTGTCAGTGAAAGTAAGCAAACAAATATGATACAATTTATCCTCAAGACAAACCTGGAGAAAATGTGCAGGACTCTGGAAGACCAGATGAGTGAGTACAGAACCAAGGCTGAGGAAGGTCAGCGCACAATCAATGATTTTGCATTGCAAAAATCCAAGCTGCAAACTGAGAATGGTAAGAACACAAAATAGTGTGTTATGTTACCAATTGTACCAAAACGATACTTAGGAAAAAGTCAATATTTTTTAATATTGTATTTTAGGTGAACTTGCCAGACAGTTTGAGGAGAAAAACTCCCTGGTGACTCAGTTAACCAGAGGCAAACAATCCAACACTCAACAAATTGAAGACCTCAAGAGACAGCTCGAAGAAGAAGTCAAGGTTTTCAAAATCTCATTCAATGTCTAAAAATTTAGCTAAAATCCACTATTGTAATAAACAACTGGCCCCAAACATTTGCTTGGCTTTAGGCTAAGAATGCCCTGGCCCATGCAGTTCAGTCTGCTCGTCATGATGCTGATCTGCTGAGGGAGCAATATGAGGAGGAGCAAGAAGCCAAGGCTGAGCTACAGCGTGGTATGTCCAAGGCAAACTCTGAAGTGGCTCAGTGGAGAACCAAGTATGAAACTGATGCCATCCAGAGGACTGAGGAGCTGGAGGAAGCCAAGTAAGACACAAATAACAATTAAAAGTTTTGTTTTTAGTGATTAGACACTTTTCTAAAATGTATGCTAAAGTTTGTGGCCTATAACATAATAATGCTTCTGATGTTCACTATATTTTGTAATTTGATTATAACAGGAAAAAGCTGACTCAGCGTCTGCAAGATGCAGAAGAAGCTGTGGAAGCTGTCAATGCTAAATGCTCCTCTCTGGAGAAGACCAAGCACAGGCTGCAGAATGAGATTGAAGATCTCATGGTGGATGTGGAGAGATCCAATGCTGCTGCTGCTGCTCTGGACAAGAAGCAAAGAAACTTTGATAAAGTAAGGAGAGAAAGTACATTTTGTCATTAGCTGGAAAAATCAGCCATGAAAAATGTTACAATATAAAATTTCAAGTAGCATCGAAAATGTTCAATGTTACATTGATAGTAAAAGCAACTTTCTAACTATGGATTGGCACTAGTACTTTAGGGTATATTCGTTACCACTAAATCATTTGACCAAAACATCTCATTGGTTATTTTGACCTTGTTAAATTTAACCAGGTCCTGGCTGAGTGGAAGCAGAAGTATGAGGAGTCCCAAACGGAACTGGAAAGTGCCCAAAAGGAAGCTAGATCTCTGAGCACTGAACTCTTTAAATTGAAAAACTCGTATGAGGAGTCATTGGACCACCTGGAGTGCATGAAGAGAGAAAACAAGAATCTCCAAGGTAAGAGTGGTTTTTCAATTCAAAACCATTACTTTAATTGCTTGTATTTAGAGATCGTACATTATTTCTATTGCCCAGAGGAAATTTCTGACCTCACTGAGCAACTTGGTGAGAGTGGGAAGAATATTCATGAGCTGGAGAAACTACGAAAACAACTGGAGCAGGAGAAACAAGAGATACAAACTGCTCTCGAAGAGGCTGAGGTAAAAGAACAACCATTTACCCCAAAGTTCTTGTTCATTTGAGAACTCCTTGATTTAAATCAATCTTTAGTTTAAAGCAATTGATCATTCCAGATTATTTTAAGGGAGGTAACCCCCCCAAAAAACAAAAAAAAACAAAAACAACAACACATGGCTAAACAAAAACGTTAAATCTCAATTATAACAAACACCCATTTTACTCTTCATAGGGTTCCCTTGAACATGAGGAAGGCAAGATACTTAGAGCTCAGCTGGAGTTCAATCAGGTCAAAGCTGATATTGAACGTAAGCTGACAGAGAAAGATGAAGAGATGGAGCAAACCAAGAGGAACTTGCAGAGAATGGTGGATACCCTGCAAAGCTCACTGGAATCAGAGACTCGCAGCAGGAATGAAGCTCTCAGACTGAAGAAGAAGATGGAGGGAGACCTCAATGAGATGGAGATTCAGCTCAGCCAGGCTAACAGACAGGCATCAGAAGCCCAGAAGCAACTCAAGGGTCTTCATGGACATCTCAAAGTATGACAAATCTTCAAATCAAGATGTTATGATGCTCTGGTTAGATCCAACATAGTTCTTCAGTCTTTTTATTTGTAAAATTTGTACTTTACAGGATGCCCAACTGCAACTAGATGAAGCTCTTCGTAGTAATGATGATCTCAAAGAGAACATCGCCATTGTGGAGAGACGCAACAATCTGCTGCAGGCTGAACTGGATGAGCTGAGATCCCTGGTGGAACAAACTGAGAGAGGAAGGAAACTGGCTGAGCAGGAACTGCTGGATGTCAGTGAGAGAGTTCAGCTCCTGCATTCTCAGGTATGACACATCTGTACTAATACTAAGCAAAATAAACCCTCTTAGTAAACCATATTATAAAAGACTATATGAATGTAAATATTGTCCATGTTCAGAACACCAGCCTGCTGAATCAAAAGAAGAAGCTGGAGGGGGATAATACTCAGCTTCAGACTGAGGTTGAGGAGGCAGTGCAGGAGAACAGGAATGCCGAGGAAAAAGCCAAGAAGGCCATCACTGATGCTGCCATGATGGCAGAGGAGCTGAAGAAGGAGCAGGACACCAGTGCTCATCTGGAGCGCATGAAGAAGAACATGGACCAGACCATCAAGGACCTGCAGCACCGTCTGGATGAGGCTGAGCAGATCGCCATGAAGGGAGGCAAGAAGCAGGTCCAGAAACTAGAAGCCAGGGTAAGCTGCTGATGTTTTTAGGAACAAGTACAGTTTTCTGCTAAATGCTTTATTTTAACTTAACATTGTTTTGTACTAAAATTGTGACACAACTGTTAGGTGAGAGAGCTGGAAAGTGAGGTGGAGATAGAACAGAGAAAGGCCAGTGACTCCATCAAGGGGATTCGTAAATATGAGAGACGTATCAAGGAGCTCACCTACCAGGTAGGAAAAATGTTGCCTAATAAAGAATTTCCCCCTGATTAATTTGATCATGTTATTTATTTAAAAAACAAAGTGCTGTATTACAGTATTTAACTGTATATTGTATATACTAAAACATTTTTTCTTTGCATAGACTGAGGAAGACCGTAAGAATCTGGCTCGCCTGCAGGATCTGGTGGACAAACTCCAGCTGAAGGTCAAGTCCTACAAGAGATGTGTTGAGGATGCGGTGAGTATTTCCCCCAGTGGTGCCATCAAATGATACGACTTCTGTAATTGTATCTTTAGATTTTCACAAATGATGTTTAATCTTTAGGAAGAACAAGCTAATGCCAATCTGGGCAAGTTCCGTAAGATACAGCATGAGCTGGATGAGGCAGAGGAGAGGGCGGATATTGCTGAATCTCAGGTCAACAAGCTGAGAGCCAAGAGCCGTGATATTGGATCCAAGGTAAGAGTAGGCAATTAAAATAAGTGATTTTGGTCACAAAAATAAAAATCTCAGAAAAGCCACAAATAAATAGTCATAGTTAAGTCGACTGGATAGTTCAACTCTATATCTCCACTTTTTAGGTTGTGTTCACATTTGGCATGTTTGGTTTGATTAAAACGAACCCTGGTGCGATTGCTCTGTTAGTGCGGTTAATTTAAATAAGTGTGAATGCTACCATTCGAACCCTGGTGTGCATCAAACAAGCGGGCCGAGACCGCTGAAAAGATGGGTCTTGGTCCGATTCCAAACAAACTCTGGTAGGGTTCGAACGAACTATGAATGCAACACAGACCAAAGGCAAGTAAACAAACCAACAATAGGAAGATAAGAACCTAAAAAGGACAGAATCCTGACACATAAATGTTTTTTCTTGTTATAGTTGTGATGCTGCCATCACAGTTCGGTAAAGGCATCAAAACTGTCTCCTAGCAGCAGATCTTCATTTGTGTAGCAGATCTTCCGCTGTTCTGACTCCATTTGAAACACATTTTATAAGCTCTTCACAAATTGTCAGCTGGTCAAAACACCATCATATTGTAGGCTATTCAATATACAACGAGCGCATTTGCTCAGCACACAGCATTGTTTTGAATGTTCGCTCCGTTCGTCACAGAATAGGCAACACAAGATAACAGCCGACCAATCAGGTTGTGCACATATCCCTATGCCTTTAGGTTCTGTATCTTTAGGTTTGGAGTTAAAAATGCCCATCTGAATGCTAATGCTAAGAACTAAATGTTTTTTTTTTTTTTTTTTATGGTCCGGACCAAAAGAACCAAGCAAACCGAACTAGCGTGAACACACCCTTAGTGACTTTATGATATGATTAGCAAGAAGTTTCAAGAACTTCACTTGATGAAATGCATTTTACTATTTAACAAGTGTGGCTATTGAACAAACAAACAAACATCCATATCGATTAGCGGTGTAGAGTTTAAGCCATTTTCAACGGGATCAGCTTACCTTTAACATTTTTTCCTTTTTCTTCCAAACAGAAGGGGGCCGACGAAGAGTGAAAATATTAGATGGGTCTCTCTAAACATTGATTGCTGTGACAATCTCTTCTGTAGTTCTGTAGAATAAACCAGACATGAAAATGAATACCTCATCCTCTTCTTTTAAACAATCTAGACATTGCAATATCTCAACATGATCCTGAACACAACAGTAAATCAGTTGCCTGAATGTCCTCTATGTGCCACAGGCTGTCTAGTTTAAGATCTGATTCAAACTCAAAATGTTTTTAAATTGTCATTTGAAGTAAGGTCAACCATACAAAGATACAGGGTGTTTACTAGTTTTACCAAACTAATACAAACCACGTAATGAAGCTAAAGCTGTAAGCCACTGACAATTATGATGTATGTTTTCCAGCAGCACTTTGCCCATAGAGGGCGCCGACCTGCCTGCCTTTTTTTTTAATAATGTCTGTTTTACTTTAGAATGTGTTCTATCCAGAATGATATTTGCATGCACTTTCAACGTCGTTACGTTTATCATGTTGGTGTAGTAGTAGCCAATAGGCTGCCTTCTCTGGGCTCTAGCTCACTCAGCCCTACAGTGCTGGAATTTAAGCCAATGGTTCCCTGGTTGATACGCAAAAAAGGCTAAAAGTATTATTACACTGTATTCAGCACAAACTCTGCTACAATAATATGTCAGTAGTGCGTATGTACAATTTTGTAGTTTTGAGATAATGACGTTTATGCGTGGTTTGTGAAAAAAAATTGTCACTGAAATAAGGTCATAAAACCCATACTGAGAATAACTAAGCCTTATTTATATCATGCTGTGTTTAGTATCAAAGATAAAAACAATCTCATTTCTCACAACTCAATCTCACAACTCCAATCTCATTTTATAACATTTTAGTCTGGTACCAGTTTAACTAGTAGCTACAATGTAAAGTAGGCTATATACAACCATAAGATTTCTTACCTTAAAAACTCGACGAAAAGCAGAGTCGCTGATTCTTTGTTTAGAGGTGATGAGGGTGGTAACAGCTGTGCGTTCCTCCGCGTGGATCATTTGAATTTGAACAGCTCGCGCGCGCGTGTGTGGGCGTGATCGCATTAGCGCTAATCAGCTCGGACTGGAGAAACTAAACATGTCGTTGCTTTCATACGGATGAACTTCAAATTCAGAGAGAAGGGAGAAGGCGCATCATGTTTATTTTCTTTATTTTACAAAAAACAACATTTAGTTTTTATTATTAAGGCCAATTTATACTTCTGCGTAGGGTGCGCGCAGTAGGTACGGCGTAGCATACGCACAGACGCGTCCCATTGCGCGTACCCTTCGCCGTCGCCTGACGCGCACCTCCTCAAAAATGTAACTACACGTCGCGACGACGCGGACCGCAAGATCGGTGATTGGTCGGCTTGGTAGCATCGCATTTCCTCCTACGCATTTCCGCACGTACCTTCTCACGCATTTCCATCACTGTCTATGATTTCCACACGTACCATCTCCTCCAACGTCTTCTCTCATTTCTGCCTTTCAGTTTTAGTAATTTCACTAAAGTGAACTGTTTTTCCACCTCAATAAGCTCCAACTCCAACATGATCCCCTCTCTTTCAATCGCTATTGCTTGTAGTAACCTAGCCGCGAGGAATCTAAACACAGTGGAACATTAAAACTCTCCGCCGCCAACTAGCGTTTCGGAGCAGTACTGCAGAGCAACCAAGACCTGAACGCAGAAGTATAAATGCTCATAACGGCGTCGCCTACGTGCGTAGCCAACGCCGCACATTACGGCGTACCCTCGACGCAGAAGTATAAATTGGCCTTTAGTGTACACAAATAAAAGTAGACATTTAACAGTTTTGATTGATGTATAACACTTGACTGTATCACAAAAATCGACAGTTATTTGAGTCTCTTTTGCACTGATAAGAAAAAGAGAGAGACAATCACGTCGGTGTGATTCTCGACCCCAGGGGGTTAATTTCATCATGTGTGTAGGCTACTTCTAACATGTTTGGTTGGTAGAATAAATATGTTTTAAATTCAAATCATGATCGTCTTCCGTGTCTGAAATGGATGTATTCTTGTGTCTATAAGGTAACAATAATATAATAAAATAACTTTTGAATTAAGTTTGAACAAAATTTTAATAAAAGAATAAAATTTTGGTTTAGTCTATACTACTAGGTACTTATACTATATTGACTGGGTTAAATAGAGTTGCATTACTAAAAAGATACTAAAATACACGTTTCATAGACTAAAATACACTTTTCATTGACTAAAATAGACTTTTCATTGACTAAAACTATGATATGTCTTTTGTCGACTAAAACTAGACTAAAATGTCATCAGTTTTCATAGACTAAAACTAGACTAAAATGTCATCAGTTGTTGTAGACTAAAATTAGACTAGACTAAAAAGAATATGAATCCTTACCTTTAAAATATGTATGATAAAATGTACTTTTAAAAATATACTTTTTAAAAAGAAAGATTACACTTGAAATATTATTAAAATTGCAACTTTTTTTAGAGGATACATATTCCAAAACTTTATGAAAGTACAGTATGAAATTTAACTATTTAATTAACTGTTTACCTTGGATATTATAGAATTTGCATGCATACAAAAATTTGTGGAAAAAGACCATTTTTTTCAAAAACGTTTCCAACTCTAACTTTGAACCAATTCTATAGAATACACACACACACATCCATCCATCCATCTTCTTCCGTTTATCCGGGGCCGGGTCGCGGGGGCAGCGGTCTAAGCAGAGATGCCCAGACTTCCCTCTCCCTAGACACTTCCTCCAGCTCTTCGAGGGGGACACCGAGGCGTTCCCAGGCCCGCTGGGAGACATAGTTTCTCAAGTGTGTCCTAGGTCTTCCGAGGGGTCTCCTCTCCCGGAACATCTTCCCGGGAGGGCGTCTAGGAGGCATCCGGAACAGATGCCCGAGCCACCTCAGCTGACCCCTCTCGATGTGAAGGAGCAGCGGCTCTACTCTGAGCTCCTCCTGAGTGACCGAGCTTCTCACCCTATCTCTAAGGGATCGCCCAGCCACCCTGCGGAGAAAGCTCATTTCAGCCTGTACCCAGGATCTTGTCCTTTCAGTCATGACCCAAAGCTCATGACCATAGGTGAGAGTAGGAATGTAGATAGACCGGTAAATCGAGAGCTTTGCCTTACGGCTCAGCTCGTTCTTCACCACAACAGACCGGTACATTGACCGCATTACTGCAGAAGCTGCACCGATCCGTCTGTCAATCTCTCGTTCCATCCTTCCCTCACTCGTGAACAAACCCCTAAGATACTTAAACTCCTCCACTTGAGAAAGGATCTCTCCATTAACCTGAAGTGGGCAAGCCACCCTTTTTCGACTGAGGACCATGGCCTTGGATTTGGAGGTGCTGATTTTCATTCCAGCCACTTCACACTCAGCTGCAAACCGTCACAGTGCATGCTGAAGGTCCTGGTCTGAAGAGGCCAACACAACAACATCATCCGCAAAGAGCAGAGATGAAATCGTGTGGTCCCCAAACCTGACCCCCTCTGGCCCCTGGCTGCGCCTAGAAGTTCTGTCCATAAAAAATATGAACAGAACCGGCGACAAAGTGCAGCCCTGCCGGAGTCTAACATGCACCGAGAAGAAGTCTGACTTGCTGCCGGAAATGCGAACCTGCCGAAGGCAGGAGCTTTGTTCTCACATAATATATATATATGGTATATATATATATATATATATATACACACACACACACACACACACACACACACACATATTCATTCTACAGAATTGGTTAAAAGTTAGATTTTGAAACAGCTTGATAATGCATAAACAAATGTATAAATGAACTGAACCATATTGCAACGTGTTAGTAACTACTGAATTTGATCTTAATGTATGCATGTCAGTGTCTACTATATTCACTTATAATTACACTATTCACCCTTTCATTACCCCTTAAACCACCCTTAAAAATACCCATACCACCAAATCTGTCCCTAATTTTACCTGTATCTACCTCAATAACAGCAAATGTGTTTTGGGTAGCACTTTATTTTACAGTCCTTTTCTGCATGTACGTACTATTTATTTATTTATTGTAGCAATTACAATAACTGGGTTACAACTAGGTTCTAACCCTGAACATTCACCTTAACCTAACCTTAACCCATGTAGTCACCATATATTATTATTGTTGGTTCTCACAAATTATGACCATGAGTTTAATTCAATATTTATGAAACATGGTATTTGAAACCTTTTTCCTGTCAATTACAACACTGAGCAACTACAAATCAAAAAGAAAAAGCATTGCTTTGCATTACCTTCATCTGTGCTTCAGATATGAGTTGGATCTTCTCCTGCAGGGAGCACAGGGTTTGTGTGTGGGTGAGATAGAAAAAAACAGGGACAGAAGAGTGAGGGAAAAAAGTCATGCTAATTTGCCTAAAGGAAGCACATAATTTATTCTTATGGAGAAGAACCAAAGTCAGAAAGATAAAGAGGTACAGGATGCAAATAGTAATACCTGTATTCTCTGATTCTCTGTCTCCATGATCCATCTGGCTCGAACAAGGGATAAAGAAGAAATGACAAGCAACTCAATCCAAGGAGCAAAAGCATCATGTGACGTCCATTGGACAATTGTCCAAGTGAATCAAACAGACCCCCCTTAGTCTCCATTAATAGCCTCCTTAATGGTCATGGATACATAATGGGTCAAGTTATTGACCCTTTGGTGATCTGAGACGACAAAGGGCCTAAATAGCTGAGAATGAACTACATCCGTCTCAGTGAATAGGAATAGGAATGTTCCACCTCGTCATAGCAAGAGATGAACTTTTATATACCTAATGACCATTTTCCTTAGACATACAAGCAATGTGATACTTTGAGCCAATTGTTCAATGAGGTAGCCATAGCTTTTGAAAGTTCAAGGTGTTAGAAGAGAAGGCATTAGGTCATGTAATAGGTCATGCAAGTGATGGATATCTACAGATGAGACATGTCCTACATACTATCTGATATCTTCTATAACAGAGGCACTCAAATGAATTTAACAGGTTATCTTTGTATTCAAGGCTAAATTAAAAGAAACAATGCCACGTAAACAAGACAACTTGAAG